GTCTCCACTACTATCACATGTACCTCTTGTTGTAAGTTAGCCTTAAGGTGGCAAGGGTCGTCAGTGATAAAGGGCATAACAGTTACTGTCACACGTTATTTAGTGGACAACAAGCTCGTATTTCACATGAGGACAAACGTTTATTGTTTATCAGATCTAGCCTGATCCTTGTGGATCAGCAGTCAGGGAAACTACCTGGCATTCCAACAGGATCAAGGGACAACATACCAGAGGACATACTATCTACCTGGCAGGAGGACGCGGAACAGATATGACGCAGCGATCTGCCAACAAGGTCCACATTCTGAACATACTTCTCCAATTCAGTCCAACAGAAGTTGCTATATCTCACATTGTATCTCCAAAACAGTGAAAAAAACAAGACGGACGATAACATTTCCTGAGCAGTGGATCAGTCCTGACCAAAGCCAAGTCATCCATCCCTGTTTTACAAATCACTGAGAATAATCAACCCGGCACTTTCCTGTTAGGTACAAGATATTGATCAGCAATAAACAGTCCTTTCTATGTTGCTGGTGGGTCGGGTTACGCAGAGGTGGCAGTGGGGAGTGCTGGTCGTGTCACACGTCCTGACCACCGACAAAGCTTGACTTGTAGCCATCTCACATACCCAACTCACCCCATCACGGCACGCAACACCATCAAAGAGGATGCTAGCGATAACAGATTTGTTTATGTATGTTAATTTTACAAGGACAGACGACACAAAGACTTCCTCTTGGTTGTGTTGGGCCATTGCATCCAATGGGAGTCCGATGTAAGCTTTGTAACCTTGGTAGTCTTATATATGCTCAGTGAGTGAGTATGGTTTTACGCCGCTTTTAGCAATTTTCCAGCATTATCACGGTGGGGGACACCGGAAATGGCTTCACACATTGTACCCATGTCGGGCATCGAACCCCGGGTCTTCAGCGTGACGAGCGAACGTTTTAACCACTAGGCTACCCGACCGCCCCCTATATAAGCTCAGAGTCTCCAAGGTATTCTGGTGCAGGGTGTAAAGGTTTTGTTTTGTTTGTTTGTTGTTTAACGCCACATTCAGCAATATTCCATCTACATGACGTCGGTCAGTAAATAATCGAGTCTGGATCAGACAATCCAGTGACTGACATTATTAGCATCGATCCACACAACAGGGATATGATGACATGCATCAACCAAGTCCCATTAGTCACGTCTTACGAAAAGCATAGTCGCCTTTTACGGCAAGCATGGGTTGCTGAAGACCTATTTAATACATGGTATCTTGTGTTAGGTTTCTGTTTTATTCATCCAGGCTACTGAAACTGCTGACACGGAATTAATCCTGTACATGTGCGAGGACGCTGCCGAGGAGGGGGGAGGATGAGGTTGTAATTCCTGTAGTTCTCCTACTGATATAGCATTGCCCTTAGGCCAGACTTTTTTAAACGCATGGTTTATGAATGTGCCGACTTCCCAAATTTGTAATGTAAAAAAATAAAAAAATAAATGAAAAACTGTTTTTTCATTTTACTGACAATAAAAAGGTAAAATATTTTACAGAAATCTATGTTTGCATTGAACAGTGAATCCAGCCGAGACATTTATTGTTGTTTCTCTCCCTATTCCTTCACCCCCATGATTTTTCCACTATCTTCTTTACATTTTGACGAAACACAAAACTTATATATAAAAATATTGAAATTGGAATTAATATTTTCGACCTACTGACCTAAATGTTTGGACTTGTTATCCTTCAGAATAAAAAGGTGAGTGAGTGAGTGAGTGAGTGAGTGAGTGAGTGAGAGGTTTTATGTCGCTCCTAACATCATCACTACTTGTCCACTTGTGACCCATGGTAATCACATAACTTTATTCAGGAGGCAATGTCACAATGTAACACACAGTAACATACACATATACCAAATCACCAACGATTTATTCTTTATTTAATGTTCATATAGTGATTCAGGTCAACGATTAATTTATCTGTCCTTAATTATGGAGAGTATCTGGCAGCCAAGCCTTACACAGTTGCCTCCCTTTGACCATATATCTGCTCCCCAAACGTTACCAGTATCTGAACTACGTCAAACCTCCAGGGGGAACAAACATCTGCTGCTCCTTTACATATCAGAAAGTCCAAGTATTTGAAGATTTCTTTAAAAAGAAATTCATGGAAATGCCCACTTTGAGTACTATCTCTTTATCAACCTCTTGCTGTTACATTTATGCAGATAAACATCAGAAATACAAGAAATTAGCAGAGGTAATTCCCCTCCTACCCCACACCGATACACCTGGGGGTCTCAGTCACAAATACCTATGACAATTGACTACCAAACAATACAGGGTTTTTTTCACCCTCGCTAATTCCTGGCAGTAAATAATGTGCACAGCCATTGACAGGGACCTCATAGGGAGGATATTGTGACTCCAGGTCTTTCAATGTTGTTATTAAATGGACAGCTCATTTGTCAAAAACTGTTGGAATGACAACATTCTGCATGTAATTCATGGCGTGCTGGGGATGTATCTATTCCGAACATAATTCACGGAAGTGGGCTGTAAAGATGTAAAGACACTCCTATATACTGTGATAACCTCCTGGCAACCTGTCCAGCCATCCATGTACATCCTTGCCAGCAGTTACAATGTTTCCTAAAACAAATTGCCAACACAACATTCAGCAATATTCCAGCCCTATGTACCAGACAATCCAGTGATTGATAGCACGAGTCCCGTGTTGTTGGGGTCTTCATCATCATCATAGGCCTACAGTTCATCAATCAGTCTGAAGTCCAGTGAAATACTTCTCTGTCTAGTATGCTCTGGTAATGTTAGTCTATTAAAATCTACTGAAAATCACAGACTACACAATATTCTTTACATTTTCTCCACCCACTGCACCTGTGACTCCAAGTTGAAGTCCTGCTTCATATCTCATACAGCACACCAGTTCAGTAGACTGGCATTTCATCTCCCCAAAAGTTATCTTATTTAGGGATACATATGTACAAGAACATAAAATAAAATCCAAATGGAGCCTTGAACAATCCATAATTTCTGGAGCGGAGGCATTCTAGACATGCCAAATCATTCTACGCTCTTTAAATTATTTTTTTAGGGTCTGGGAGACAGACTAACACATGATCAGTACGGGAGCGGAAGTGTTTAATGAAAATGAAGTTACCAACAGTGCTGCTCCTAGCAAAATCTACCAGATTAACAAACTTCACGATTATCGAAGTATCAACAAGTCATAATGCCCCTTAATATAAAGACCTTTCCATTGGTAAACAACAAACTTGCAGAACCTAAAAAATGACCTCAAAAACATATATAGCCTATGTCCTATGAAACCTCTATGCCCTATGAAACCTCCTCAATAACCATACATGGCCTTTGAGACATTAAAAATATTATTAATTTATCCTTAATGATCCAGGTGTCCCATGAGATGCCCACCAATTACCAGGTCTCCTCCCAACAACCCCCACCCACGTCCTGATGCTCCAGGTGCACCACAAGATGGCCACCAACCCTCACCCACACCCTGATGCTCCAGGTACACCAAGAGATAGCCACCAAGCACCTCCCAACAACCCCCAACCACGTCCTGATGCTCCAGGTGCACCACAAGATGGCCACCAAGTACCTCCCAACAACCCCCACCCACGTCCTGATGCTCTAGGTACACCACTAGATGGCCACCAAGCACCTCCCAACAACCCCCACCCACGCCCTGATGCTCCAGGAGCACCACAAGATGGCTACCAAGCACCTCCCAACAACCCCTACCCACGCCCTGATGCTCCAGGAGCACCACAAGATGGCCACCAAGCACCTCCCAACAACCCCTACCCACGTCCTGATGCTCCAGGTGCACCACTAGATGGCCACCAAGCACCTCCCAACAACCCCCACCCACGCCCTTATGCTCCAGGTGCACCACTAGATGGCCACCAAGCACCTCCCAACAACCCCCGCCCACGCCCTGATGCTCCAGGTGCACCACAAGATGGCCACCAAGCACCTCCCAACAACCCCCGCCCACGCCCTGATGCTCCAGGTGCACCACAAGATGGCCACCAAGCACCTCCCAACAACCCTCACCCACGCCCTGATGCTCCAGGTGGACCACAAGATGGCCACCAAGCACCTCCCAACAACCCCCACCCACGCCCTGATGCTCCAGGTGCACCACAAGATGGCCACGAAGCACCTCCCAACAACCCCTACCCACGCCCTGATGCTCCAGGTGCACCACAAGATGGCCACCAAGCACCTCCCAACAACCCTCACCCATGCCCTGATGCTCTAGGTGCACCATGAGATGGCCACCAAGCACCTCCCAACAACCCCCCCCCTAGCCCTGATGCTCCAGGTGCACCACAAGATGGCCACCAAGCACCTCCCAACAACCCCCGCCCACGCCCTGATGCTCCAGGTGCACCACAAGATGGCCACCAAGCACCTCCCAACAACCCCCACCCACGCCCTGATGCTCCAGGTGCACCACAAGATGGCCACCAAGTACCTCCCAACAACTCCCAACCATGCCCTGATGCTCCAGGTGCACCACAAGATGGCCACTAAGCACCTCCCAACAACCCTCACCCACGCCCTTATGCTCCAGGTGGACCACAAGATGGCCACCAAGCACCTCCCAACAACTCCCAACCATGCCCTGATGCTCCAGGTGCACCACAAGATGGCCACTAAGCACCTCCCAACAACCCCTACCCACGCCCTGATGCTCCAGGTGCACCACAAGATGGCCACCAAGCACCTCCCAACAACCCTCACCCATGCCCTGATGCTCTAGGTGCACCATGAGATGGCCACCAAGCACCTCCCAACAACCCCCCCCTATGCCCTGATGCTCCAGGTGCACCACAAGATGGCCACCAAGCACCTCCCAACAACCATCACCCACGTCCTGATGCTCCAGGTGCACCATGAGATGGCCACCAATTAGATGGGCTCCTCCTTACAGCTCCAAATCTTGTACTTACCACCAGAAACTCTTTCTTGTCAACTATTTGGTTACCGTCAGTGTCAAACATGTTGAAGGCGATACGAAAACCAGATCTTGGCTCTGAAATGTAAAGTATGCATTATCAGACACTTCAAAACATTTTCAAGGAATTGCCCACACAACATTAGCCACAGTAACAACAATACTTGCACTGGGGTCAGGGGTAGATAACATCAAGTTAGTGTTAGGAAAACCAGTGGTTGATAGCTTGAGCAATGCTCTACAGGAAGACAATCAATCAGGTTATGCATTCTAACCACTCAATGCTCATTTCATTTCATTGTTACAGCAAGCATGGGTTGGTGTGTTAGGGACTCCTCACAGGGAGACAAGCTTGGGGTACTGGGGGCCTATTCTGATCCTGAATAATCACAGGGAGACAAGCATGGGGTACTGGGGGCCTATTCTGATCCTGAATAATCACAGGGAGACAAGCATGGGGTACAGGGGGCCTATTCTGATCCTGAATAATCACAGGGAGACAAGCATGGGGTACTGGGGGCCTATTCTGATCCTGAATAATCACAGGGAGACAATAGTCCAAGAGATAGCATGGAATTTATTTACCTCAGAGGTCCAAAAGGTTTGAAATGTAGATCATGAAGAAGATTGAGTATATTTTCGAGAAATCAATTTCTTACAAATTGTATCTTGACCATTTCCTCACAGTATGCCATTAAAGGCATGACTCAGCAAAATTTTTTAGCGCACATGTGATTAAGGAAAATGCGAAAAGTTTAATAAAAATTGAAAATGACTAAAGTTATTTGGGTATTGAAGTGAAGGTATGAGCATATACTTTATAAAAGAACACAATATTGCACCCACTATATCAAAATGTCTTATCTGTGATAGGAAATATCATAATATTTATGATTTTGTTTGCAAAGTACCATCTTTTGTTTCTTCTTACTCCTGTAATATGAGGTTTTAATTATCTCAGTAATTTTGCTTTACAAGCCCAACATTATAGAAACAATATTATTCATTTTCAATACTTTCAAATGATTATTCATGAAGATTCAGAGTTTTATTCAAAGGAGTCAGGATGATTTATTTTTGGTAAAGGGAGATAACTCCATCCTAAAATCATAAACTGTGACAATTCAGACAGTTCAAGTACAATTAATGTAATAAAAAGGACCAGATTTGAATAGAGTTAATCAATTAACCTTTCTAATGAAGTTTTAGTATATAATTTCAATCAAGTGCAATGACTGGTCCCTGATGCCAAGATGGCCGCCATGCTGGAAGCATTGTAGACAGCAGGATGGAAAAGGTGAGTTGTTGTAAATACCCTTATCAGTATCTTTTACACTGTTTGTCATAAGTTGTGTAATGATCCACAGAATATATTATCACCAGTTCAACAGTATAAAGTCTTGTGATTAGTAATAAAGCTCCTGCAAAAAGTTAAGGCTATCAAGGGAGATTACTCTTAATTTCAAGTATTTCCAGGGAGCAGTTGTTGTATTTGTTTGGGGCTATTCAAGTTTGATTAATCATTTATAAAGCAATTTGTTTGTTTTTTAGATGATGTGTAGTAGCAACACCATTCCTTGACTGCAGAGGCACTTAAATATGAAGAATGGATGATCAAAATCTCAAATGTATTCTGCATCTGGGTCAACATTCAAAAGAACCAGTCAAAAGGTTTGACAGTGAGTCATGGCAACAAATACAAAATGCTGCCAAACTTCGCCTGAACAATTATTCTTCATCAAAATACCATAAAGCATGTGAATATGTGAGAACTCTAGATGCCATTGAACTGTCCTATGGATATCATATCAACTGCTACAAAAATTTCACAGCTATTCCAAAAGAGAAAACTGAGCACCAAAGAAATGCATCTGTTTTACTACGTTCAAAATTGCCTGGTATTGCTTGTACTTCCTCTGGGGTATTTGAAAATTTGTGCATTTTCTGCAAAGCTGTTTCAAAGCGTGTTGGGAATCATAGAGAAACACTTGGAAGATGTGAGAGTTTTGATGCTGAAGAAAAAATAAAATCTGCTGCTGAAACCCTGTGTGACCAAGCGCTACTTGCTCAGATTTGTGACGTAGATTTCATATCGAAGGAAGTAAAATATCACCATTCTTGTCGTAGGCTTTACCTCAAAAGAGCAGAAAATATATCCATCAATCATGGAGCATCTATGGAGCACTCTGACAACAGCAAAGAAAACCTGAGCAATGCACATGAGACAGCCTTCAAGACATTGTCACTCTATGTTGAACAAGAAATTATTGTTAAAAATGGCGCTGAATACCTCACATCTCTGCATAAACAATATGTGACATCCCTTGGGAGTGAATCTAAATACAGTGCACAGAAGGTGGAAGCTAAATTGCTGAACAAGTACAAGAATGAAATAAAGAGTACCAAATCCTCCAACAGAAAAGGAAAAGTAATTTTTTCTTCAAGTCTATCAAATGAAGATGCGGTCCTGTACGCTGAGGCACAAGCAAATTCCAATTCTGCACGTGTAGTGGACGCAGCTTTTATTCTGAGGCAGGAAATAATCAGGATGAGAGATGAGTCAAAGGATCTACCATTGCCCTTGTCAGCACAAGTTATAGGAAAGGGTAATGGCCAACCCTCCAGTGATTTAATGCGATTCTTTAGAACATTGTATACAGGCTCTCCAAAGCCCAAAGATCCACCTAGTGTCAAGGCTGAGAGATGCATCAGGTCATCAGCAGATGACGTTCTCTACAATACTTCAAATGGAACTATCAAACCAGGTAAACATCTAAATCTTGCACTTGGGCTTAAAAGTATCACTGGCAGCAGGAAAGTCATTGAGATTTTGAATCATTTTGGACACTGTGTAGGGTATCACTGGCTGAAATGTTGGAAACGGAGATGGCAACATCTGTATCACAAACTGAATCACCACTTCCAGATGGTCTCCTTCACTCACCTGGACTTCACACTGGCACAGCATGGGACAATTATGATGAGAACACAGAAACTCTGTCAGGTGCTGGGACACTTCATGACACAGTCGGTATATGTTACCAGGATATTCCAACAGCCCCAGTTACACCTGAAGATGTTCCAACACATACATCTTTTAAAGCAGGAAGAAGAAAGAGATCATTCCAAGGAGAACAATCTTACATCCAGCCATACATGAAGAAGCCTAGGATTCAAAGGTTTGAGTATCCATTATCCGAAGATGAGGAGCCTGCAAATTATGTACACTTCAGACACATGGACATGCTCTGGATGATAGGTTATTCGTGGAATCAGCAAACCCCAATGTGGATCGGATGGAATGCACGATGGTCAGAGGACTATCTACCACAACAAAAAATTGGGTTTTTGAAAAACATAACAGAGCCACCAACACAACTGAATGTGGTTGCTAAAACACTGAGGATATCTCAAGAAGTTGCCAAAGCCTGTGGGGAAAACATGGCACTTGCCACTTATGATTTGGCTGTAGCCAAACTTGCATTGCAGATACAGGCACAAGAAAAACCCACCTATGACAACGTGTTCATTTGCTTTGGAGCTTTCCATATATCTATGACTTTTTTTGCTTGTTTGGGATACCTCCTGGATGGATCTGGGGGACCATACCTCTTGACTGAGACTGGTGTCCTTGCTGGTGGATCCCTCAAGGGATTTATCAGTGGTAGACATTACAATAGATGCAAACGCCTTCATCTAATACTAGCCCTCACGTTCTGGAAACTACATTTTCAGTCCTTCCTTGACAAGCACCCTGGAATTGTTGATGATGACATGAAGCAACTGGTGAGTGAAGTCGGCGTCAATCCAACATCAGAGTCTGTCAAACTGGCTTTAGAAAAGAATGCAATTCAAAGAATCCTTGACACATATGATGCCTATTCAGAGGAGACAAGGAATGGGGCTCATGGGAAAACTGCTCAGTTCTGGATCATCTATATCGATCTTGTAAACATCTATCTGATGTTTAGCAGGGCCTGCAGGACGTGTGACTTCAACCTTTTTGTGTACTGCCTTGGACGGATGTGTCCAACTTTCTTTGCTATTAATCGTCCAAATTATTCAAGATGGATGACCTTGTATCACTTGAATCTACTGAACATAGATATCACACACCCGGGAGCAAAAGAGATGCTAGAAAATGGAGGACTTTCAATAAAGAGAAGCACAAATTCATTCTCCAGAGTACCAGTTGATATGGCACTTGAGCAAACTGTCAATGCTGATGCGGCTTCAAGGATGACAGGAATTTCTTCGTTCATACAATCAGAGTCTGCTCGCACAAGATGGATGATAACTCGCTCTTTAAGAAGCGCAGTTGTGTCAGGTCTTCTTGAGATGGCTGGCCTTGACAGAAAAGATGAAACTTCTCGTGAGCAAAGGCTATGTCGGGTTGTGAGAGATCACCAGGATGTTGAGAAACTTCTCAATGCAATAGAAAATAGTTTGAATCCTTTCAGTGAAGCATGTCCCAACTCCAACCTCTATTGTATCAGTTCCGGAAAGGCTGTACGAGATGAAATAGCCAATGATCTTGTTTCTGTGCTACAGAAAGGAGAAGAGTGGTACAAGCAATTTCAAGATGGCTGTTTCAGTGATGCTCGTCGGTTTGAAAAACCTATTCCCAGACGTAAAGTAAAAAATTTTGCTGCTGAAGCTGTGAAACTTTCATGCACAGCCAAAGATAAGAAGGTAAATGAGCTGAAATGCACAAGTGATCTGTTTGGAAGACTACTGTACCTAGCTACAACCTCAAACATCAACCTGCAAGAAGTCTTTCAATATCCCTTGACTCCAGTACCTCTTTGCCTTGCCCACATAGACGGCTCTCTCAACAAGACTGACAAATCAAGGCTTCTGTACTGTCTTGAAAAGAAGGTCGAGGATCACTCACAAGCTGTCACTCTTGATGTATGCATTGTTGATGGGATGTTCTTTGTACAGTCTCTCAGGAATGTACCTCTAAGGTACAAGGATATTGCCCAAACAATGCTTATTGCGCTCTGTCGAATGGCCAAACGTGTTGAGTTTGTGTGTGATACATACAAGAGTCCATCCATTAAGGATACTGAACAGCA